ACACACTAAACCAGAATTAGTCTGGTTTTTTATTATTTTTCTAGTTTTAAGTACTTTTCTGTTAAAATTGCCAATCTGTCTCCCAAATGATGCAAATGTCTGTCTTTCAGAACTTTTTTCAGATCTTAACGTGTTGTATTCTAATGTTTATGCCACCGCTGCGACAGGTATTGGTTAAAGGGCATTGATGTAGCAACCTATCGTATGAGGGTGGGGCTATTTAATAATTTTCGGCTTCCTAAGAACAAGAACCGTGTAGTGAGAAATCGGTCACCATGTTACTTTACAGCTCACATTTACTTCGTTTTTCTAATTGTTATTGCTGTTTTTGTTGCTACGTTTTATAAGGGGCTTACGAGTATTATAATTTTACTTCTTGCGGTTGTTATATTCAATTTCTCGATGATCGTCTTGCCACTCTTATGTTTCACAAGGTTCCTGTTGAAACATATCAAACATTTTAACCCGCGTTTTTGTATCACATTTCCATGGGCCTTATTATGCTTCATATTTTTCACACTAGCTTGCCCTGGTTTTGGGATGTGGATATATGTACCAAATCTGAAATATCTCATGTTAATGCACGGAGATATCCAACCGAACCCAGGTCCGGTTGGACACGAAAATATCACATTTCTACTGTCAAACATAAACAGTATTACGGCAGACGAATCAACAAGATTCGAATGTTTAATAGATGAGATGCGCTTAAACGAAGTCCATGTAGCTGGTATATGTGAGGTTGGACAAATTGCAAATGAAACTATCAAAAAGGATTACGATATTTTTGACTATCACCCGCCAATATACATTAGCGAGGGGAGGGGATTGATGGTCTACATAAAAAACAATATTTTCTTTAAAAAATGCCCGGATCTTGGCACTAAAAAACACAACTGTGCAACGATATGGTTTGAACTATGTGTGAATCATCAAACTATTTTCTACGCGCTGACATATAAATCGCCTAATATGAGTGTTGATGAAAATAACCAATTTTTCACCTCTTTATCGAGGGACATCGAAACCGTGCAAAGAAAACAACCTACAGCTGTTCTTTTAAACGGCGATTACAATAGCAAACACTTTAGCTGGAACGAGCACAATTCAGCTAATAACACAGCGGGTACTCAACTTTATAACCTCATAACTAATTTTGGACTTACTCAGCTTGTTACCGAGCCTACAAGAATAAGACCGACTTCAATGTCATGCATTGATCTTTCAATATGTGATTCCCCGGGACTAGTCGAAATGACTAAAGTACTCACACCTATCGGTAACTCAGATCATTGTTGTGTTCTAACGAGATTAACTACTGGTCTAACCAGGGAGCAGTCAACTAAGCGAACTAAGTGGTATTATGACAAAGTTAATCGCACTGTTTTGAATGAAGCTATTTGTAACTCCCACCTTCAAAATATTTCGGAAGGAAATGCAAACATAGATCAAAAAGTCAACGAGTTTACTGAGATTCTTTTCAGCATTTTTCAGAAACATATACCAAATAAAACCAGGAGGAAAAGAGAATCGGATAGACCTTGGTTTGATGACACAATTAAACATGAAATTAATGTTCGAAAAAGACTATATGCACAATTTAAAATTTCAAAAAACGAAATTGATTATCAACTTTACAAAACCCAATTGCTAGTTGTAAACGATTTAGTGAAACAGAAAAAACTTGACTACGACAATAATGTTACGGAAAGCGTTCTCAGTTCCGAAATTACATCCAAATCTTACTGGTCGCTTATTAAACAACTCCTTGGTAAACGTTTTTGCAATTCCTTCCCCGCAATGTTTGACCTCGAAAAAAATACCCCAGTACATAGCAACCTAGGTAAGGCTAACCTGTTTCTCGAACATTTTGTTTCCAAATATTCCAATGAAATAACTGTGATGGAAAGGCCCTTTCCAAGCAGAACTCAATTATATATGCAAGAATTTGAAATTTCCCCACAAATGATTGTGGAAAGTATAATGGAATTAAAACGTGGAAAATCAGCCGGACATGACCAAATCACAAATGAAATGTTAAAATTAGCAAGTGACCCCCTCGCCATTCCATTATCAAAACTTTTTAATTCGATTCTCACTTCCAAGACTTTTCCTTCAAAATGGAAAGAAGGAGTTGTTTGTCCTATCCATAAAAAAGATGACAAATCTCTAATAAAAAATTATCGGCCTGTAACTTTACTTTGTACAATGTCTAAACTTTTTGAAAAAATAGTAAATTGTAAACTGATGACCCACTTGACATCAAATAACCTAATTTATGAAATGCAATCTGGATTTCTTAAAGAACACAACACTCAACTCCAACTAACTGCTATAACAAACTACATTCTTCAAAATTTTGAAAATGGTCTCGATGTTCGAGCAATATTTTTGGACATTCAATCAGCCTTCGACAAAGTCCCTCATGTACTCCTTCTTCAGAAAATCAAATCCTACGGTATCCCAAAATCACTAATTGACCTTTTTCAATCTTACCTCACAAACAGAACAATTAAAATTAAGATCAATGATGAATTATCTAGGTCAAGTAAAGTCGGTCAAATCAACTCTGGAGTCCCCCAAGGCTCAATATGGGGACCGATTTTCTTTTTGTTATATCTAAATGACATAACAGACGATTTAAACTCTAAATGTTTTATCTATGCGGATGACACGTCACTTTTTTGTCCGGTTGACCCAATAAATCACCAAACAGATAGCCAAGTTCTTCAAGATGACTTAATTCATATCCAAATGTGGTCCCAGAAATGGGGACTAACTTTCGCACCACAAAAAAGTCACGAGTTGATCTTTAAAACAAATAGACCAATTGAGAGAACGTATCCTAAGTTTGTTTTCAACGACACTCCAATAGATCAAATTAAACATCATAAGCACCTCGGGCTAATTCTTGATGAAAAGTTAACTTTTAAAACCCATATTGAATATCTAGAAGGTAAGGTTCAAAAATTATTAAATCCACTTATGGCACTTAAGCATAGATTAAATTCCAAACACCTGGAAAAAATTTACTCTTCCTTTATCCTGTCACATCTGGACTATTGCGATATCATTTATGACGCTGCTCCAGCTACCAGCCTAGCCCAGTTAGACAAGCTACATTATAGGGCAGCTGTTATTTGTTCTGGTGTTATGCAAGGAGCAAGCACAGAAAAAACCATTGAAATATTAAATTGGGATAATCTTCAAAATAGACGGGATGAACATAAATTGCGCGTTATGTTCAAGATTCAAAACAATTCGGCACCATCTTACGTTAAACGGATTTTCGAACGATATAAATCACCTCAGACGCGAGTTCTTAGAACAACCAACGACTACAAATTACCAGCCTCAATTAGTAAAAAAATGGAAACGGGAACAGTTTGCTCAATGATAACCTTGTGGAACCGTCTTCCTAGAGACCATAAGGAAACAAACAGCTTCTCACTTTTCAAAAAACAACTAAGCGATCATCTCACTAATAACATGGAACCTACAATTTCAACCTCCTACATACAGAATCTTGATAGAAAAGACGAAGTTATACTAAATAAGATAAGAGTAAATCGATATTTTAAATCCGATCTTTTTGACCATAATTTCTCTTTCATTAACGATCCATATTGTGACTGTGGAGCTCGAGAGACAGCACAACATAAACTCTTGTCCTGCCCTCTGAGAGAAACAAATGCGCTAGCGGTGGTTAAACGTGAACTAAACTTAGATGTTACCAAATACAAAACATTAAAAAATAAGACAAATTTCCTACTTTTTGGCGACAAGGATCTGACAAATGAAAACAATTCCAAAATCTTTAAGGCAGTTATAAATTTTATTAAACACAATTAAACAATCAAAACAGTAATTCAATTTCAGGGCACCAACGGGGGTACAGGCAGGCAGTAAAACAGATTGTATTTAAATTTTATATATTTTTATACTAACTATGAATATGACTCAATAACATTATATTGTATTTAAATTCACTTAAAGCGGCAGTAGAAATGCCCTTTATGGGCGATTACGCCGTGATTACAATGTAAATTTATTTAATGATTTAAAGAAATAAATGAGTATTTATTAAAAAAAAAAAATTACAATACTGAATGGAAATACTGTATTATTACGCATCTTTTTACACAAATATCCGAAAATAAAACATCTTTTTATATATTATTTTATCGATTTCACCAAGTGTGAATTTCCACCATTTTAATAGCAAAAGTTTAAAAACTATACACTGAAAGAAAACGCACTTATTTTCTACACTTTATTTCAACAATTTTATTTTATTTTTATGCATATATTAGATACTTTAAAGAGTTTTAATACTTGTGATGTCATCGAGTTACGCCGTAATGTAGTCATAAACGTGCTAAATTAGACAAAAATATGCAATATTATTAATAGCCTATATTAGTTGAAAAGAAGTTTCTATATTGTAAACATATTTCTGGACCATTGGTTTCAATGAGAACCTAAATTTAAAATGTCTCTCTGAAACACTTTTTTCTGCGCTTGTAATCTAATTTTTTATTCTTCAACCAATCTTTTTAATTTTTGTTCAACACAATTTTTTGTTGAACACAACGGGAATATTATTTGAAATATAATCAAGATTTTCGAACAAAAGTTTTTAAAATAACATTTTAAAATTAAAAAGTTTGATAACTTGGGTAAGAACTTCATAATTCAACGTAAGCCAAAGTGGTTTAAAGTTTTCCCGAACTTTAAAAAGTAAGGTACTACTTTATTGTGTTTTCATAAAATATAACAAAATCTATCCATTGTTGTCTATTACTTATCTTTTCCAACTTTCCTTCTCCATCTTGAAGCCATCGGATTAATCAGCCTGGCTATAACATACAGTTATGTTGGTTTTTTCGTAATAAGTATTGCTGGGTTTTATGGAGGGCGCTTGGGTTTGTTGACTTAAATCTCAAGAGTTGATAATATATTTAAGTGCAAGCATTCAGTTGTTTAGTTAGGCTGTGTATAGCAGCGAACTAGCATTCGGAGGAATCATGTACTTCTGTGGTTGAGGATTATATATGCGTTTGTCTCTGTTTGGATTAACAAATTTATCACCATGGGGAGTATGCAGGATCTACAGAAGCTGCTGCGGCAGAAAGACATCAAAATAAGGGAATTACAGCGGGAAATACAAGTGCGAGATGACAAGATCGTTGAGCTGTCCAGTCAACTGGATAAGTATCAATCGATTTTACCAACTCAAGCGCCAGCTATCGCAGGCCCAAGGAAACAACGTGCCCAAGGAATATCAGCCGAACCAGCTGCACAGAGATCCCTTGAAAGCTTAAGACAGCAACCATTGAAGAAATATTCCAAATCACAGAGGTAAGTCAAATTTAAACACTTACAAATTACATTGGGGTAAAGTCCACAATGGTATGTTGTACTTTATAATGTTAAGTTTCTACGCCTCGAGCCGGCCATATATCTTCAGCTTGTTGTTGTGAAGTTAAACCTTGCTGAAGGATTTTTACTATCTATCATAAATAAGAAAGGTATCGACATAGACCCAGTTTATAGCTAAGTAAAAGGGATAGGATGATGCTTAAACTTGCTTAAAGTCAATGATTTTACAACTCCGCTGAGATCTATATGGCTTTACCTGATAAACAGTCCCTATAAACCGAGCTCCGTGTGTTCATTAAGCGGAAATGCATGTGAAAAAGTAACTATGAATTTGACTTCTAAGATTTATTTAATGATGTCGTATATACCCCACTCGGAGAGGGTATTGAAACGAAAGCTCTAAAGGTGCATGCACTCTCTTGTATTGAACATCTATTTACCCAGTTCTGTTTACTTTCTATTTTTCACTGTTGATTTATGAGCATGTAACATGGCTTAGCATTCAATGTTTACTATTTCAATCGACTGCAACTTTACTAATTGCATTCGTGTGATAATCCCCTAAAAATAATCCCCTAACATACGTCAGCGAAATTTTATCAGTTCTGATTTTTTAGCGTTACATCAAAGCCTGAAGCAGACCATTTACTAGAAACTAGAGAGGGCAAATCGAAACCACTAGTTAAGTTTGTGTAAGGTATCATAAAGGCCATAGATGTTACAATCGGTGTTAATTCCGACAGAGCCTGGAGTAAATTCCGCTTCTAACGTATTAATTGTATTTTAATTGATTACAAATAGAATTCGAGAAGGATAAGTAGACAAGAAGAGCTCTGTATTAAGATTAATTACGGAGAAAATGTATTTTACATTTCCATAATGTTTGATTCCCGTCCATGTTTTAAACCACCGTTGTTGTGAATTATTACGAGTTCGATAATGCCATACGAGTTCTAATGATATAGGATATCAGTAATTTGAACAGCTTTCACTTAGCATAAAGGTTTGGAGCTAAGGTTCAAATATCAGTCATGTAGGTATAGTTTGGTTTGCATTTCGTAGGTACAGTTCACATGGCTAAATAGATTGATTTAAATAGACTTTCCATTTTGAATCATAATTAACTAAGAACGATATAACTGAAACAAGGTACAACCTGAGTATAGGAACACTTTTCACACCTTTTGATCGGAAACTGCGTTATGTGAACATTTATCACAGTTCCCACGTTTGAAAAACGTTGTATGTAAACACTTCCTATATTCAAATACTTTGGGTTTGTGATAAGGCAGGTTTTACTAAATGTCATAATTTTGATAGGTACCAGACCTATGCTCAAAAGTAGGATTTTCGAATACATGATATAAATTTAGTTATGTGGTTATTAATTAACAGGGACATGAGGTAAAATGTCTGTATGACACTTTCAGTAACCGTATGGGTTAGTCTTGCTCCAAGACTGTGGATCTGGCTCCCTATCTAAACAACGCAGTTGTTAGAGTAGATGGTGAGTCCAGGGTCTTGAAGCAAGACTAGGAGTTGTCGAATGAACGAAGATAGTTGGCCTGAATTAACTTTCAAATGCTAGCAGGAAAGTATGTATATGACAATAACATAAACCTCGTGTAAGACTGGAAGGTCGAACCACCTACCAAAGTTCAGACCTTATCTGACGTTCAGCATACTGCTTATCATCCAGTCTCGTTTGGGGCTGGGAGGTAAAGTGCCCTTTATCAAAATACCATTGTGTCAATGTAGATTTTCCGTCAATTTGTCAAGAATATATACATTTAGAATACACGTACAAGATGTGAAGTCCATGTTAACACATTGAGTTGCATGCGTGAGGAGGTGTTTTTTTCTCGATCGAAGCGTTGGGAAAGTAAGGGAAATGGATATATTCTATTACCAGGTGAATCTGTTTATTTACGCTGTGAATGCCAAGTTCAAAACACATTTGTCATTCGGAGACATAATGATAAACCGTGTCATTTTCCTTCTTATCTTGCGTCTTGTAAGACATACGATGGCTATCGTAGTGATTGGAGCATCCCGATTGAGATGCCAATTGTCCTTACTTGCTTAGTACAACGAGTGAAAGGCTATACAATCTCCTCTATCTTATAATTAACGTACGTATCTGGGATAAACAGTAATCATGCATGTAGATTCAGTAATTGATCCCCAATCTATTAGGGCGATGTCATTGATGGTTAACAAGTTAATTTACTGAAATTACTTAGTATTCAAATTACTGTGTTACTATCCCTTGATATTAGGTACCCAGGTAACCTATCGCCAAATTCTAGCAAAATATAACAAATAAAGTAGTTTTGTATCAATACCCTATAACCTCACCATAATTTACTGAAATTACTTAGTATACGAATTACTGTGTTACTATCCCTTGATATTAGGTACCCAGGTAACCTATCGCCCAATTCTAGCAAAATATAACAAATAAAGTAGTCTTGTATCAATACCCTATAACCTCACCATAATTTACTGAAATTACTTAGTATACGAATTACTGTGGTACTATCCCTTGATATTAGGCACCCAGGTAACCTATCGCCCAATCTTAGCAAAATATAACAAATAAAGTAGTTTTGCATCAATACCCTATAACCTCACCATAATTTACTGAAATTACTTAGTATACGAATTACTGTGGTACTATCCCTTGATATTAGGTACCCAGGTAACCTATCGCCCAGTCCTAGCAAAATATAACAAGTAAATTAGTTTTGCATCAATACCCTATAAAATCACAATTAATTTACTGAAATTACTTAGTATACGAATTACTGTGTTACTATCCCTTGATATGAGGTACCTAGGTAGCCTATCGCCCAGTCCTAGCAAAATATAACAAATAAATTAGTTTTGCATCAATACCCTATAAAATCACAATTAATTTACTGAAATTACTTAGTATACGAATTACTGTGTTACTATCCCTTGATATGAGGTACCTAGGTAGCCTATCGCCAAGTCCCAGCAAAACATAAGAAATGAAGTAGTTTTGCATCAATTCCCTACAGCCGAATGGAGGGATATGTACAGAGTATTGATGCAATACTATAAGGTAAATGGATCGCATATAAAGTACCCGTTTCAATAAGTTAATTTAGCTTCTTCAAAAGAGAGCTTAATCTTCAGGATATGTTATAAAATGTACTGTGAGTATGTAAATTCCCCATTCCGATTCGAGTAGATATCATACATAACAGTTTTTACGGAAAATAATATAAATGTATGCATTAAATTACGATTGAGAATAAAAAACGTTCCAAAATAAAAGCTTTTGCTATCACAATGGAGATTCGTCCCAGCACGAGACAATTTATTGCACTTGGCTATTCCATTTGAAATTCCATTCGACTGCAGCAGTTTTGCTACACCAAGCTACATTCCCCTCAACAAGTTTGGCAACCGCCGTCCCATTTTGGATCACTCATTTTTATGTTTGACGATTTAAAACAATTCAAAATTAAGATTCAAACATTGTCAGAATTTGATATGCAGGGGCGGATCTGGGAACCCATAAGGCCCACTTTTTGGGACCTTAAGGCCTTTTTTGGTCCAAAATTATTTTTGGGACCAATTTTTTTTCTGGGCCCACCCAAGGGGGGGGGGGCAGGCACCCCCAGATCTGCCAGTGATATGCTTGGATGAATGGAACCTTCTGGCTGCCAAACTTATGGAGGGGAGTGTATGTTCCATGAGCACAACGGTTAGTTCTAAAAAGCAGATGAAGCTTTCTTTTAAGAAGCTAGGTTAACCGTATGTAAAAAGTAAAGCTATGGTTTCACGTTTTTTTTAACCCAGACACATTTTACAAAACCCAGCCACATTACTCAATCAATAATTATGTAAAAGGAGATATAAGTTTTACCAAGTAAAGAAACCATCCAGATGGTAACACAAGTGTATGACTATAACATACACAGATATGTATCAATGCACTACAAGAACAGCTGGGCAATGAAACGTCGATATTGGCGAGAATAACAACATATCAGTTAGATCATTAAAGTAGCATGTTAGAAATGTGATACAGTGAACACCTGTCTCATTCGAACACCCCTCATTGTGAACACTTTTCCAGGTCACAAATCTCGAACACCGCTCATTGTGAACACCTTTTCCTGGTCCCAAATCTCGAACACCGCTCATTGTGAACACTTTTTCCTGGTCCCCATCTCGAACACCCCTCATTGTGAATACCTTTCCTGGTCCCAATTCTAAAAAAATCAAAAATAACATCCAGTGATGTTCGGATTAGACAGGTTTTACTGTAAATGAAAAACAACAGTCAGGAATCTGTGACTGTTTATGATCCTGCATGAATGACGGAGACAGACGACGATTTAGAGCAGCATTTATTAGGAACACGATTCCTAAGGTCCTCCCTCGACATTTGTTGACTGTCACATGTATCATTATCTCGAAGATCACATTTGAATGGAACTTTACCTCTTCTTTCTGTAGTAGTACCTGTTTATTTATTTAATAGCAGTCAGTTCAAAAGGCAATTGAAATTTCGTGAATGGACAAGTACAGCAGTATGTGAGGGGGTTAGTTAAGGTCACACGATGGGATTTCTAACTGAGAATGCTGCACACTCGCGTCCTCTGCTGATAAGTTTAGTTCATCTTTTCAAGTACATGAAATCATATTGTTCGAACTACATATTGTAAGTTGTAACCCATACATGTTCAGCTCCATCAATGGGACTCGAGTCGCTTGATATATTGTATCGTCGATCGCTAGTAAGAAAAACAATTTTGATGGAATATAAGAATGCCATATTTTAGACATATTTTATTGTATAATATCTACAGTATATGATATATATCGCCAGTTACAAAGGAAATATTTGATGAGTATAAGAATGACATATTTTGTTCATATTTTTCTGTATAATATCTACAGTATATATCGGTAGTTACAAAGGAAATATTTGATGAGTATAAGAATGACATATTTTGTTCATATTTTTCTGTATAATATCTACAGTATATATCGGTAGTTACAAAGGAAATATTTGATGAGTATAAGAATGACATATTTTGTTCATATTTTTCTGTATAATATCTACAGTATATATCGGTAGTTACAAAGGAAATATTTGATGAGTATAAGAATGACATGTTTTGTACAT